TGTGTGTGTGTGTGTGTGTGTGTGTGTGTGTGTGTGTGTGTGTGTGTGTGTGTGTGTATAAAAACCATCAACTTTGTCCCTGGTAATTTTTCCCAATGGAAGGCATCTACTTCTGAAACACTCTACAGCATTGTCAAAGTGGCAGAGTGATAAAATAGGATGACCACTTAGAAAATGCTGTTGCATTTGGCTAGAATAGAGGTCATTAATGGCTTCTAAGGGACTGCTTTCAGCAGAGTGGAAGGTGAGGTAGAGACCTAGTTCGTTGAGTTAAGAAGTAGTAGGAATAGTGCTTTTCTTTTTCTCTCTCTGCCTATATCTTTCTTTTAATCCCTGTCTGTTATTTATTTCTGTCTCACGTTGTGCCTTTGTTTCTCCCTACCTGAAAGGATATGGAACGAAGGCACCAGGAAAAGCTGAAGATGCAGGCCGAGATCAAGCGCATCAATGATGAAAACCAGAGGCGAAAGGAGGAATTACTGGCCCAGGAGAGGCTTGCAGACCAGATGGTGATGGAGTTCACCAAGAAGAAAATGGTGAGGAGACAGGGGCCTGGACAGGGACAAGAGGAGTTAGAGCTAGGGGAAGGCTCAAAGTAGGAATGGGTGAGTTGTGTGAAGGGGTTGGTAAGTAGGTTTGCTTATGTGGAATTAAGGGGCCACAATAGACAATATTGAGACATAGAGGTGGTGAACTGATGGTGGTAGAGGGATATGATTGATGGGAGCAACTTGTAACTTCTTACCAAGAACAGTTATGGCAGTCCTTTGTTGGGAGGGCACATTAGTAGAAGAGCCAAGAAGCCTCCAAATGGGAGAGAGCCACCTCCTGATTCTGTAGAAATCAATTTTGTAGAGATGGCCTTAGTTCTTCATCGATTTTGGATGGTCCAACTGCTTATTAACAAAGAGTAGCAGGGAAAATTAAGTATTGGAGAAAATCAGATTAGTTGGTCATTCTCTTGCTTTCTTTGGTAGTGTATTGAATGAGGAGATTAAATTGGGAGGAGGAAGGAGTCAGTGATTGAGACTTCTGATGTAAATGAAGTTTTTTTTTTTACTTTTTTCTGAGAGTTTAACACTTGGAGGCATCTCCTTTCACATATGAGATCCCTGAAAAGGGTTTAGGGAACTCCATGGTCAACATTCATTCAAAATCATACTTTATGAAACCACCATGGATATGTTTATATTTAACTATCCAGTCAGAGGATACATAGTCCATTGTCCATAACTGCTATACGATTTAGGATTAGAAAATTCCTTGTAAGTCCTGTTTAATTCCCGTGAGCATCCTGGGCCCCTCTCCCCCTCAACATATTTTGAGAATTCTGTCCCTAGAAAAGCCACAGGAATTGTATTGAAGCTAGGACAGTGAACCCATTTTCCTTCCAGAGTCCTTTCAGGTCTGGTGTGCAAATTAATCTGAGTCAGAACAAAAACCAAGATGACAAAAATATCACCCTTTACCTTATTGGTTCACATTTCTGCCTTTATGATGTCACTCTTCTGTTTAAAAAAACCTGAATTTTTTGCTGTATTCTGCTCATCATAAGACATCACCATCTTCCTTTATGAGTTTAATTTATCTGGGCTCTCTCTTCCCCAAGTATGCTCCTGGCATGAGACTGGGTCTGCTTTTTGAGGACTGTCCTAGCTAAGTATGGGGCGGATCATCACCAGGAAACTGGCCACTTGGTGAAGAATGTTTTGGCCATGACAACCATGAAACAAACAAAAAAACGAAACCCCACAAACTAACCATTAATTTTGTGCTGCCTCCTTCTGCTCCACAGTGACTACAGTAGCAGGGTGGAAAAGCAGGCAGAGGGTATGAAAAATCACACAAGTTTTAGGCCATCTATAAACTTTACCTTGGTCATTGATACTTTATAGGTGAGACCTTAGTTCAGTGACCAGCAAATGGACATACTACTAGAGGAATAGAATCGTATCAATCTTGACTTACTTGAAGAAACAAAACTGAGAAGAAAAAGGAAGTTGCAGATAATGAAATAGCTTACAGATTTTCCTTGGAGAGGCAAATAAAAGAGTCAGTGTCATCAGTTTTATCACATGCTTAAAGGTAGCAAGAAAAATTCCATGGGGCATTTGATCATCTTGTATTGCAGAGCTCATTATAAACAATGGCAAAGAGACCTCCATAAAAATAATTTCCCTCTTTGTGCCAACATCTTTTGCATAGGATGAAAGGGTAGAGAAATTCTACCGATAACTAAATAGGATCCTCCCACTAAATTAACCTGTTCTTGATATTTGGTGACTTCAGTGCAGAGGCAGGAATATGTGATGATGGTCAGAAATATATTTGAAAATATGGATCATTAATAACGATTGAGAAAGACCAAAGATTTGTAGATTACAAAGAAGCTCCACCTCTGTATATCGTGAATACTTTCTTCATGAAAAGAATCATCCTTAGGTAATGGACAGTGGAGCACTGAAGAACATCAAGAAAAGAAAACTGATTATGTTTTAACTGATAGGAAATGGCGTTATTCATGTGAGAGTCATATATAGACCACTGATTTATTAGAGCAAAGATAAGAATCAGTGCACATGTAGAAAAGAAGGAAGAAAAGTTAGAAAAAGATGTGGTGTGCAATTGAAAAAGCTCAATCCTTACCTATTCAAATTAACTGTCCAAGCATTAACTATTCATATCCCAGGAAATGGTGAGTAGAAAGGACATAATACTTTCCTTCCCTCTGTTGATTATTTTCAACTTAACCTGGTTATGGCTTATTTATACGTAGTTGTTTAACAAGTGGTCTCCCCCATTAGACAGTGAAGTCCTTGAGGGCACAGACAATGTTTTGTCTTTCTTTATATGCCCAGTACTTAGCACAGTGCCTGGCACATAGTAGATGCTTAAATGTGTATGGATCGATTGATTAAGATGTCTAATCCATGTAAATCACTTGCCGTAACAAAGGGACCAAAAGAGCCTCATAAGCAGCTTATTCAATAAACACGACTTATTTGCTCAGTAAAGAAGGATGGCAGCCAAAGGCAACATTGGTTTAGCACATAAACATATTTGTGCAATATTACAAAGAAGAAAGATGGAAGATTATGAGCAGTCACCTCACGAAACTGAGAAAAACCATAAAGGGCAAAATCAGTTTAAAGAAAGCTTGCCAAAAGATTCAGCTAAGCAAAGCCATCTTGAGGACATATAAAGATGAACATGAAAGGAGTGTAATAAATAGAAGAAGGAAGGGAAAGATTTGTAAAGATTTTACAACCAACTTCTTTTCATCATCAAGGACAGCATAATCACCACACTTGAACTCCATATCACAGCACGGGATGTGCTTGTGAAGGATCCAGAAATGGCATTGAAGAGAAGAAAGGTAGAAAAACCTGCTGTATGAGACCAAGTGTACATAGATGAGGTCTGTCCTGGAGGCAACACTGTTGTAAAGGTGTTGAAGGATCAATTCACGAGGTATTTGAATGAAAAGATGATGCCACAGATATGGGGGGAGAAATCTCAGATCTCAATACTTGACAAAAGGCAACTGAGAAAACATCCATAACTACTGAAGCTTATGCTGACTTTGCCTACTATACCTGCTTTTTTATGTGAAATTTTTATGAGAGGCATGTACACACATGATGAGGGTAGGGAACAGGCAGACTTTTGTAATGTGATATCCACAGGAGACCACCAATTCTAACATCACACAGCTGATGTAAAGAATGAGGGGTCCTACTGGACTTTTCCCATTGATTCTCTTTTAAAATTTTGAATTGGTAGAGAAAATGCTCCCTTAAAGGTTTTCTTCTAACAAGGGTTTCTCCCATCTGTACTTCAGGATCTATTAAGAGCTGTAGCAGTATAGATAACCTTATTCAATGACCCTCTGATCCTAAATATTATGTGAGGCATCTAACACGGAGACACATGCTTATCTCTATCTGTAGTCTGTACATTCTGTCTGTAGACTATGCCGTCTGTTTTTAGACTACCTGTACAGTCTGTGTCTTTGTTCCCTCCGCTATGCCTTTGAACTCTCTTGGACTATGGGGTCCTGCCAGAAGTATCATTGGTACTGTTGACAGGCTTAACTATTTAAATTCTCCAGGGGCATGACCAATTTTTTTTTCTTTTCCACCGGCCAGGCTTCCATCAATTCCATCATAGAAATGTTCCATTTCTTAAGGAATCCCAAAGTGTTAACACATTGACATCTTGTCATCTATGATTACATTTTGTAGACTGTATCAAGTGAGCGGGGGTTTGGGGAACCTCTTCTCCTTTCTCCCCACTCCTTACATGTATGTGGTCATACAGTACAAGTGGATGAAAAGTTGGACCCAGAATTAAAGAAGAAGGGGACAGAAGACTGTGTTCAGCAAGATTGCAAAGCTTCTTTAATGAATTCAGACTTCTTCCTGAAACAAATGCCCATCTTTTTAAATACCAATAGTTACTTGTGTGGCTGCAAATTTTAGAACATCACTATCTCTAAAAGAATTAAAAATGAGTATCAGCAGGGGGCAATGGAGAGGCATAATGGTGGAAATGAGCAGGCTGCAAAATATAACAAGGACCTTTAAAGATGACCTGGAGTAAGGGAGAGGAAGTAGACCTGGAATGCCATTGATATAAGGAATTCTGAGATGAAAGAACTCTTCTCTATCAATACCTGTCAGCATCTTCTCTGCCTAGAGTGACAAAAGGTTGAAAGACTTGCCCAGGGTCACAGTCATTATGTGTCAGAGAAGGGACTTCCTGGCACTGAGGGTGGCTCTCTATGTACCATGCCATGCTGACCCTCTAGCCAAGGATAAAGGGGTTAAGGGATAATCACCAGGAAAATTTAGGATTGAAAAAAAGATGGGCTGCCCATGTGGTGAGAGTATGGTAGCTGTATGACCGATAGCCTCATGAAGTCAGGAGAAAGTGAGGAAGCCAGCCCCTCCCATGCTCATCAAACACCCTTCCCCCCCTTCTCTCCCATGTTAAACTTCTGGCTGAACATGCATGAGCAGACATGAATAGGTTGTGGTCTGTATCACTGAAGGGAATGCCCACATAGATGAAATCACAGATCCTTTTGAATATTGCCTCTCTATCCCCCACTGGCCTCGGTAATTGAGAGCTGACGGTGTGTTGCTCTTCCATACAACTTTGTCCTGGGTGAGATCATAGGATCTAGTGCTGGAAGGTGTCTTAGAGATCATTTAGTCCAACACCCTCATTGACAGGTAAGGAAACTGAGGTCCCAGTTGGTGAAGTGATTTGGCTAAGGTGACACAGGTAAGAGCAGAGATAGAATTTGAACTTGGGTTTTCTGATTCCAAATCCACAAATTTCTCCTATACCACAATGCTTCTCCAAGGCGCAGACTTCCTAATCTTTCGACAACTATTCCCCCCTCCCCCCCCAAAAAAACCCCTCAGCATCCTTCCATCACCATGGAAACATTCCCTATGTGTTGAATTTTGTATTAGGTGTTATGAAAAAGTAAAAGACTCAGAGAACACAGAGCTCTCATAAAGAGCACGTGAAACATGGTCAAGACAACACTCTCAAAAGAAACATAAAGGAATTCAGATTAATATAACTTAATTTGATATCTTAAAATGCAGAAAAGTTCTAAAGGCATAGGGAATGAATGAGTGGAAGCAATCAGGACAGAGAGCAGCCCAATAAGGCTGCATGGAGGTGAATTGTGAGCAAGACTTGGAAAGAAGGGAGGGAGGAACATGTGTTTATGGAAGGTGCCCAAGGGCTGTGTTAGTTCATATGTCCCTTTGATGGAGAAAAACTGAGTGGTATGTGTACCTCTTTATATTCTGATAGTACCTAGCATAGGGCTGCCCACATGGTAAGCATTGTTGTTCAGTCATTTCAGTTGTGTTTGACTCTTTGTGACCCCATTTGTGGTTTTCTTGGCGAAGATACTAGAGTGATTTGCCACTTCCTTCTCCAGCTCATTTTCAGGTTGAGGAAACTGAGGCGTGGGGTTAAGTGACTTGCCCAGGGTCACACAGCTAGTAAATGTCTGAGGCCGGATTTAAACTTAGGAAGATGAGTCTTCCTGACCAGACCTGGCACTTTATCTGGTGCTCTGTAAATATTGAATGAATGAATGCTTTTTATGATAGCTCAGAGGTAGAAGTGTTTGACTTGTGTATAGAGGTAGGAAGGATGCTTGAGCTAATAGACTTGCTTGCTTGAAGCAGAGTTTAAAGTGCATAGTACCTGAGACTTGTAGGTGGTGAGTTGTAGAGGGGTAGAAACACTTGGTTTGTTTGTTTGTTTGTTTGTTTGTTTTTTCTTTTTCTTTTAGGCAATTGGGGTTAAGTGACTTGCCCAGGGTCGCACACATCTAGTAAGTGTCAAGTGTTTGGTCTGAGGCCGGATTTGAACTCAGGTCCTCCTGACTTCAGGGCCGTGTTCTGTCCACATGCCACACCTAGCTGCCCCCAAGGGTAGAAACACTTGGTAAGGAGACTTTGAAGTTATTTTGAGTCTGGGTTTGATAGCACTGCATAATAAGGAGCTGATCCAGATCTTAAACAAGAGAAGGTGAAACACTATAAAGAAGACAATAGCAAAATTAACCCTCATTCAGGAAATATTTTACAATTTAAAAGAGTACTTTCTTGACAGTAACACTCTAAAATAGATAGTACTTAGCCACTTACTGACTTCCTACTACTACCCCTTCCTACCTTTCCAGTCTTCTTATGCCTTGCATGCTGCAATCCAATAACAATGGCCTCCAATGCTTTTCCTCAAACTGGACACTCCATTTCCCGACTCAGGGCATTTTCAGTAGCTATCTGTATGCCAGGAGAATTCTCTCTCCTCCTTCTAATGTCCCTACATTCCTTTAAGTCTCAACTAAATTCTTATCTTCTACAAGAAATCTTTCCCAATCTCCCTTAATGCTAGTGCCTTCCTTTTGTGGATTATCCCCAATTTATGCATACCTTGTTTGCCTGTAATCTCTGCCATTAGATTGTGAGCCCTTTGAGAGCAGGGACTGTCTTTTACAACTTTCTTTGTATTCCCAGCATTTAGTACAGTGCCTGGCACATAGGTAGTGCTTAATAAATTCTTGTGGACTGACTGACTAGCTGTGTGACCCTGATTAAGTCAGTTAGCCTATGTCTGCTTCGGTTTTCTCATCTGTAAAAAGGCGATAATAATAGCACCTGCCTCTCAGGGTTGTTGTGAGGAGCAAATGGAATAGTAATTGTGAAGTGCTTAGCATAGTACCTGTTACCCCATAGGTGCTGTATAAATGCTAACTATCATTATTATTATTCTGATTTCACAGATGAGGAAACTGAGGATCAGAGAGTTTAAATTATTTGCCCATAGTTACAAAGCTAATGTGTAGTCCAGTTTAGACTTGAATCCAGGCCTTCTTACTCCAAGTACAGAGATCTAACCACTACATTTCATTACTTATGATTCTTGTTACTATGTTTAAAAAAGATGGGGGGACAGGTGGAATTGGGCAAGAGGTTGAAGGTATGTAGACTGGCAAAGCAATGGGATGTGTATATATATACATATATATACACATACATAATTACATACATATATATACACATGTGTAGGTGTGTGCATGTATGTGTATATGCATATATATGTGTATTATACTCTTTGTGTCTCACAGGAAGACATACATTAAAATAACTATAACATACAAGAAATACAGTGAAAGGGTGAAAATATTATAATAGACAGGGAGGGGGCATCTGTGCAAAGAGGAGCTTATGAAAGATCTCATGGATATAGTGGAAGTCAATATTAAATGACATGTCATTTTCTCTTACCTCAGAACAGTCTCTACTCTACACAGGCAACTGTGGCCTATACCATCCAAGCCACAACATGACTTCTTTATTGAGACTGTTAGGGGTCCATTCAACTACCACCTAGGCCAAAATGGATCAGAGGAGTTGGTCTTAACATCGATGGACACAAGCCTACGCACACTCAAGTCCATTGAAAGGAATGTTCTTGCCACCACGGTCCTTGTCGATGTCTGATTGTTCAGTGTCAAACACTGATATGATTTTATCAGTGGGAATGACATTAAAGAAGAGGCAGTAACATCTGCTTTATGTTTGTGCCCTAAGAACCATGAGACCCTTCCATATATGTTGACTCCCCTATTATATGATGTGAGCTCCGTGAGAGCAATGCTTGTCATATTTTTCTATCCATATTCCCAGTGTAAATGGTAAGCACTTAATAAATGTTTGTTTGCTTGATTCATTCATTCACTGGGCTATGGACAGGTTAGTTATATTTGGATGTTTGACAGTAGCTTTATCCAAGCCCCAGAGTGCTCCCAGTAACCATCAATCATTGATCAGCACCATTAGTGAACACCAGCTGGGTGCAAAGCCTTAATTAGGTGCTACAGGGAAACAGCAAATTTAGAGGAATTATGACTCCTACCATGGTAAGACATAAGTAATATGGACATAAAGATATTCATAGAGGTCTGTATAGGTAGAATACAGGGGCTAAGGAAGTTCTTTGCAGGCAGATTGTTCCTTGCCAACCCAAGAGGAGCAGCCCTGGGGAGATGGCCTTGGGGAATAGTTAGCTACTTATCCACTTTTATAGCATGAGCACTTAATAAAGACTGCTGTTTTCATTGCTTACATACCTGGCTATTTCTTAGACAAGATGAAATTGCCCCATGGGAAAATTGGGTGATGGGAAAGATATACCAGCAACTTTTTGTGCTTTTCTAGGAATGAAAGAGGGGGTACCCCTGGAAGAGTGGCCTGATCCACATCTGGCAGGGGAGGTGTTCATGGTTGTCTGAAAGACCAGGGTTATAGTATGTCTGGTTTCCCATGGCCTTTTCTCTCTTTTAGGCCCAAGAAGCAGAATTTGAGGCTGAGCAAGAAAGAATCCGAAGGGAAAAAGAAAAAGAGACAGCTCGACTGAGGGCCATGCAGGAGAAAGCCCAGGACTACCAGGCAGAGCAGGTACCTGCCACTCCGGGCCACTCCTTGGGCAGCCTATGAAGTGGACTTTGGGGAAAGGCCTAATAGAAGACTTCAAAATTCTCTGCAGACTTTAGCAGTACAGGAGCTAAGAGGGGACCTGTTTGCCTACCTATTTATATACATACACACACATACACACACACATATATACATATATAGTTATATATATGCATACATATACATATGCATGTCTGCATAATACCCTTCTGTAGGGCTGCATTTCCTGTCTGTTGATCAGGAGTCATATCTCCCTCTGTCTGGATCACATAGCCCAATAGTGTCCCCTCCCCTCCCCTGCCCTGCTTGGGTGGGAGACAGGCTATACATTAAGAATTACTTTTTGGTGGGGGAATGTCAACTACTCAAATACGTCACCAGGGGAGGCTGTAGATGCCTTCATTAATAGTATTTTAAAACAGGAATAACTTCAGGGGTGGGAAATAGACAAGATGACCTCTCAAGCTACCTTCTGATCATTAAATGTGAGCTATTCTTTCCTAGCATCTTTTTCTGCTAGAGAAATTCTTTGGGTTTCTCAAGGCAGAAGGTGATGAGAAGACCATAGGCTGGTGATCCCTAAGGGACTGGTGTAGGGGATTGGTTTCCCACTTCTTTATTTATGGAGGAGGTGGTAGAGTGGGTTGGGGAGTTAGCCCTAGAGTTCTTTGAGGAAGCTGGTTCCAGCTGTCCTAGGAAGGCAGAGGGTTGTATAGGGAGACCTGTGCCCCCATGCACCCCAACCTGCCCTGCCTTCCATACTTCTGGCTTCAGTTGGGTGGGGTTTAGGACTGAAAGCCCCCCAGTTACCTGGCACAGCACCCACCCTTGTTGGGCTGCCTCTTCCCCTTCTGCCAGGATGCCCTTCGGGCCAAGCGCAATCAGGAAGTGGCAGAACGAGAATGGCGCAGGAAGGAGAAGGAGAATGCCCTAAAGAAAGCAGAAACTGAGGCGATGCTGAGACAGAGCCGGCTGGACCAGGTGGCCTTCAAGGAGCATACTCTGGCTGTGCAGGTGCAGCGGGATCGAGATGAGTTTGAGAGGATCCTCAGGTAGGCTGGCCTTCCCTTTACCCCGGGGTATAACAAGGGCTATTGAAATAAACAAAGGATATGGGGGGAGGGTAAGGGGGAAAGGGAGGGGAGGGCTGTGCAGCTACAGTTAGGTGGGGAAATTACCTTAGGAATTGTCTAGTCCAGGGGTGGGGAACCTGCGGCCTCAAGGTCACATGTGGCCCTCTAGATCCTCAAGTGCTGTCCTTTGACTGAATCTCCCATAAGGGGATTTGTTCTGTGAAGTTTGGATTCAGTCAAAGGGCCACACTTGAGGACCTAGAGGGCCACATGTGACCTTGAGGCCACAGTTTCCCCACCCCTGGTCTAGTTTAACTCCCTTATTTCACAGATGAGGAAACAGTGACTTGCCCAAAGTCACTCCAGTGATAAGTAGAAGAGCTGGGATTTGAAAGTCTCCTCCAAATACAAAGACTTTTTTTTTTTTCTCATTGAACCATGTTGTTGAGAGTAGAGTAATCTCACCCACTGTCAGGATTCTCAGCAGTCCAGGTTAGCCCTCATTCCTGTCTTAAGGTCATTATAATGATTTTACAAAGGAGGAAGGAGGTAGGATGGGAATAAGCATTTATTAAGTGCCTACTAGGTGCCAGGCACTGTGCTAAGTGCTTTACAGATATTATTTCATTTGAGCCTCACTGCAACCCTGTTAGGTAGGTGCTGTTATTATCCCCATTTTACAGATGAGGAAAACTGAGGCAAATAGAGGTTAAGTGACTTGCCCAGAGTCACCCAGCTAGTAAGCATTCCTTCCTAGCTGTGTGACAGAATTTCTTCTTGGTCAAGGACCTGTGAGAGTTAAAGGAATTGGAATAATTCATGTGGAAGGAGGGATGGTTGACAAGGGGGAGATAACTTTTCCCAGCAAGAATGGTTCTTTATTTCCACAAGGGGAAAAGGAATGAAATTATAGTGGAAAAAGTTTAAGTCACACGTAAAGAAGGGGCAGCTAGGTGGCACAGTGGGTAGAGTACTGGGTCTGGAATCAGGAAGACTCATCTTCCTGAGTTCAGATCTGGCTTCAGACACTTAACTAGCTGTGTGACCCTGGTCAAGTCACTCAATCCAGTTTGCCTCAGCCTCTCATGTATAAAATGAGCTGGAGAAGGAAATAGTAAACCATTCCAGTACCTTTGCCAAGAAACTCCCAAAATGGGGTCATGAAGAGTCAGACATGACTGAAATGGCTGAACAACAGCAGACATGACCCTTAGGTTGTAAAACATTGATTTAGGCGACCAAGAGGTCATTGGATTTAAAGCTGAATGGTAGCCCAAAGATCACTTATCAGAGTTTGGCCCTTTTAAAAATAGATGAATAAAGTAAGGCCCAGGAAAGAAGAATGACCTGGCTGAGGTCTAACGTCTTTATCAGTATCTCAGTGAAGGCTGGGTGCTTTCATTCCTATGGTGAGCTCTCAGTGTGCGAATTCTCCCCATGGATACAAACTAGAAAGCCATGTGTAACTTTCATCTCAAAGCTTTGTCTGGAGGACTGAGAGCTTAAATGACTTAGCTGTGGTTACTTAGTCAGTATGTGTCAAATACAGAACTTGAATCAACCATGTCTTTATGACCCCCAAGATTTGCTATAATATAGTATGCCATACTATATTGCCTCTCTTAAATATTTTAAGCATGTTAGGCTTGAAAAAGCTTTGTAAGGGCCACACCATTTTTTTGTGGACCCCCATCCATATTTCCCTGACTTACCATGATTACTGCTGCTCTACATCTCCCTTGGCTAAATCGTCTTAATTCCATTATATGAATAAACAATAAAGTGTTAATGTAGTTTCTGTGTTTCCTCCAGCACTTAGCAAAGTGGATTATGCAAAATTGGCCCTTAATAAATGGCCATTGAATGAATTGAATTAGTGTATAAAGTCAAGAGCACTTGGTGGACTTGGACATAAGGAGACACACAGATTACAGCACAGCCTTGAGAGAAGGGGGTCTCTGAATAGGCAGTGGGTTTCTGAGATGATTGAAGAGCGGCAGCTACAGGGTGGGACTAAGAGAGTCAGAGTAGCCCTCTGGTGGCAGGCTCCCTTTCCCTAATGAGTCCTGTCTCTGCTTTCCCTCAAATCCAAGGGCTCAGAGACAGCAGATTGAAAAGGAACGTATGGAAGAAGAGAAAAAAGCCCAGGAATGCCTACTCCACGCAAATGAGTTGCGGCGTCAGGTACGAGAGAATCAGCAGAAGCAGGTACAGGAGAGAATTGCCACATTTGAAGAAGGCCGGCGCCTTAAGGAAGAGGCCCAGAAGCGGCGTGAGCGCATTGATGATATCAAGAAAAAGAAGATGGAAGAGCTGAGGTGCGTTTGCGGCCCAAGTGCTGTGTCATCCTGGTCCTTGGTGTGGATGCCATGAAATGTGGGAATCCTCACAGACGCCCAGAGTTGGAGGGAATGACCCCAAAGCAGGGAGGTGAAGGGGGAAATCTCTTTGGATCTGGAAGGAGGTAAGGGCATGGGGCATTATCCCAGAACCCAGAGCTGGAAGGTATAGAAAGGGGAATTGCTAAAGGACTGGCAAATGGGGTAGAGGAAATAGCCTGGGGTGGGCTGGAGTCGGCGAAAGCTTAGGGAGGAATCTTCCCTAAACATGGAGGGGAGGGAGGAGAATTGTCTCCGAGGTGGGAGGAGATGGGAGTCAGGGATGTTCCAGAACTTGCTGGGTGAGGGGGAAAGGTGGCGGCTCTCTGAATCCCTCCTAGGAGGGGATTTGGAAGCCTTCACGTGAGCTTGTCCTGGGCACACTCAAATCTCCTGACCCCATGCCTTTGTCCTAGGATGCCTTTCCAACCATCCCCCTGCTGCTAGTGCCTTTCCCTCTGAGGTTCCCTTCCATCTCCCTGCACGTGTCATATGTATTTCCACTTTGTCTCCCCTATTAGAACATGAGCTCCTTCAGAGCAGAGGCTGCCTTTCTGCCTTTCTTTGTGTGTAGCGCAGTGCCTGGTGCATAGCGCACCATCAGTGCTTGTTGATGGACAGATGGACCTTTTGCAAACCCCATCTTCTGCATGCTGTGTGCTCCTAACCCTACTTCCTGCTGTTTATGGCCCCTTGTTGTCTGCCCTCTTTCTGACCCTCCCTGGCTTTCTCTCTACAGAGCCACGGGCCTCCCGGAGAAGTACTGCATTGAGGCAGAGAGAAAAGGCAATATTCTGTCAGCCACCTCGGTGAGCTCAGTGAAGGAGCTATGAATGGACTTTTTCCTAGGCCCCCAGCAGGAGCTGGCCTTTGACTTTGCCCCTTGGTTTCCACTATTGCTGCTAACCCAGAGAGTTTACAAATAGAGATTGGATTCATTATTCTTCTATTAGGATTCGTGCCTGACTTTCTTTCGGTGGGGCTGACGCCTGAAGTTGTTCCGTACCCGTCAGCGAAGGTGCTGAGATGGGCAAAGTAGGTCCCAGGGGGGTAGAAGAGCACGGTGGCAAGGGGATGCTTCTCTGTGTCTTCCCTCTCCCTCCCACACATAAACACCCGAGGAACCCAGAGGTCCCCATAAAAGGAAAAAGATAGCGCTTCATGGGCAACTGGGCCGAGAGAGTGATGTGTGGTACTGGGTGTGGGCGAAACAGCAGGAGCAGGGGCAGCCGTGCCCTGATGCAGTTTTGATTCCTCTGGGATGTCGACATCAGGGCCTCCCCGGGCAGGATGCTCGCTCAGTGGAGTTCCCTGCTTGCTACCGCAGCTGAGATGGAAATGCTGTGTGAATGAGGGATGAGGGGAAGAGGGCTCAGGGAGGAGGGGCCCTGGCCCAAGGCAGGGCTGTCCCTTTGTACACACCCATCAATCAGACTGCATCTGTGATCTGGGATGGTTGGGGATGAATCCTGACTTTTCCCTCAGCCCTCCCCTGCCAGAGCCCTTTCAACTTCAGGCAATACCACAACACAGACATTGCCTCCACCTCCCTGTCCCCCGTAACAGGGCACACCCAGAGCCCTAGTGCTCCTCACCCCACCCTGCCCCATCCCCCCCTCACCCAAACACTTCCCTTTACCTCATTTACCTGCCTCCATTCTCTTTACCTTAGTCCACATCCAGTCCACCCCAATAAACATGCTTCCCCTCAGCCTAACTGATCTGCCTCAGCTTTCCTCACTCTGCTCTGGCCTACTCTTAATTTGAGCCACTCTTCCCTTGCCTTTCAACCCCTCCCCAGCTCATTTCCTTTGACTCTAGGATGTGGTTAATATCACTATCTCTCAATATCAATATCAATACCTCCCCCCCAAAACCCATCCCCCACCTCAGCTCCCCGTGATCCATAAGTATATCATGAAGACCTGGGCTAGAGTCACTGGCCTGACTGTCCTCCCCTGGAGGAAGAGGAGTTAGTTGTGGAGGGGCCCCCTCCCTGAACTGTCATCTTCCCTCCTCCCCCAACCCAGTGAAGTTCCATTCCCAGGTTTGGGGCCCAGCCTTGCCTCCCCTGATGGGCCCTGCAGCCATCAAGGTGGAGGGCGGCTACTGGGTGCGTCCTAGGTGTTTATGATGCTGGGTTACAAGGGCCCTGGGCAAGAGTCCCCTTTTCATGGGGCCCAGCAAGAGTCAGCAAGCTGCTTCCTGTGTTTCCACTTCCTCAGGCACAGTACTGGGGCTCCTCTAGGCAGAAGAGAGGGTGGGCCTGGCCCTGCCTGGGCTCCAGTGAAGAAGGCAGAACCACCATCTGTCTTCACCCTTTTCATGTTGACTCCTTCCTCCCTTGGGCTCCCTCTTGCCTTTCCTTGGAAAGAAGTAGCTCACATCCCTGGGGGTTCTTTTGGCATCCCCTTCCCTTGTTGGCATCCTGGCATAAGAATCCCTCTGAGGATCAGCCAAATGTACAGCAGCTTGTACCTGTGCCCACTCGGGCCCAGGGGAACTCTGCCCTCATTCTGCCAAGGGGATCTAGACACTGTTCTCAGGCTCAGCTTAACCCCCAACCTGTTCATCTTGGGAATGGGATGGAAACCAGTGGGGCAAGGAGAAGTCCATCTCTACCATATATAGAATCCCTTAGAGAAGTCTTAGTCATGGAGAGCGATAGTCCCAACTTGGGAACTTGTAAGAGGTAGGATTGCAATAGGTCCAGGTTTCTGCTCCAGACTCCAGGGGTTCCTTCTATCTTCCTCCCCCCCAAAGCCTATCCCTAATTTTGAGGAGATTCTCCTCACAACTAGAGTTAGGCCCACGCTCGCCCCTGGGAGATGGTGAGGGATAAGGGAAAAGAAGAGGAAAGGTTCTTTTCTCAGGATCCTAGACCAAGATATTGATAGGGATGGGACCCAAGGCTAACTGAGGAAACTGGAGAAAGGAAAACAAGCATTTATTAAGCATTTGGCATGCGACAAGCGCTTTACAAATATCCCATTCAATCCTCACAATCTCAAGAGGTAGGTGCTATTATTATCCCCATTTTATAGTTGAGGAAAATGAGGCAGAGGTTAAGTGACTTGTCCAAGGTTACACAGCTAACATGTATCTGAGGCTGCATTTGAATGAAAACCTTCCTGACACCAGGCACAGCACTGTACCTTCTAGCTGCTTCTAGGGGAAGAGAAGGGGAGAACGGGAAGACTAGAGGTATTTATGAGAATAGATAGCACATCTGGGAATTTATAAAGTGCCTTCCTCACAACAACCCTGAGGTAAAGGAGGTAAGAGCCTTGGTTTGTGCATTTTGATATTAGTCATATTAGAACTAGAAGGGCTCTTAGAAATGATTACAAATAATCTATAAAGATAAGAAAACTGAGGCCTGGACAAGGAAAGTGACTTAACCAAAGTCATAAGGCCAGTTAATAGTGTCAGAGCTTGCACTGGAACCCAAGTGTCTTCACTTTTCCTCCTCTTCCTCACATATTTTTTGAGTACCTACTTTGCAGAAGGTACTGTGAAAGAGTCTCAAGATGTGTGCCATGTTATCCCTGGCCTCCAGGGATTTACATTCTAGGTGGAACATAGGCATAAAAGGAAAAATGTTAATCCAGGGCAGCACATATCACCCATGGTCAGAGGCTTCCAAACATAAGGAGCCCCGGTTACATTTATATGGGGGTTTAGCATCCTTTCCAAAACTCAAGACCTGCTCAGAAACTTGAAAAATACCCCCGACTGGCCAATTCATCACTTGCAAACATTCTCAGGGGGTCTTAATCTTTTGTGTGTTCTGAACCCCTTTGGCAGTCTGGTGAAGCCCACAGATAATATTTTTAAATGCATAAAATAAAATACATAGGATCACAAAGGAAACATTATATTGAAATATACTTAAAATATTTTTTAAAAAAAGTTCATAGATCAGGGGCAGCTAGGTGGTGAAGTGGATAGAACACCTGCCCTGAAGTCAGGAGGGCCTGAGTCTAAGTCTGGCCTTAGATCAAACACTTGACACTTACTAGCTGTGTGACCCTAGGCAAGTCACTTAACCCCAGTTGCCTTAAAAAAAAAAGTTCATAGATCCCAGGTCAAGAACTTAAATCATGAAGAACTTTTTTTTTTTAAATGTAAGTTTTATTTTACTCTTTTCAATTTTCCAGCATTGGTTTTCTCTCCTCCCATTCTCTCCCCCCAATATGAAAAAAACCCCACAAAACTCTTTATCAAATATGCACAAAGAAAACAAATTTCTGAATTGGCCATGTACAAAACTGTCTCATTCTGCATCTTGAATCCTTCCCCTCTGGGTAGGACGCCGTACAAAGAACTTTTTAGCTCTAAAACCTATGATGCAATCTATTTTTCCACTGTAGTAATCTTTGCCAAGTGATATGCAAATCAGAACTGCAGCTCTTAGAGCTTTAAAACTAAGGTGCTTCTGTTCTTTGCTATCTATGCCTTTGGGCAGAGAAAGCAAGTGCTGAAGTGAATGTCTCTTCATAGACATGATCTGGGTGTTTAATGTGGGTGAATTTCGGGTTACCTTTCCTCGTCTTCTTTCCTCTCAGCCTCCTGCCCCCAGTCTGTTTCTGTTTCTGTTCCCTAGGCCCTATCTAGCTGTCCTCAGGCTCACACTGGCCTCTGTTTCATCCTTTTTTTAAAAAAATTTTTATTACTGGCCCAGGGGCAGTTCGCTACATATTAGAGAAACCCAGGGTCTCAGATTTAGCATGCTATCCAAAGCCAAGAATAAAGTCTAAGGGTGGAGGCAGGTTTGTTACATTGTGTCTTCTCTTGTGCCACCTCCCCCCCCCCCCCCCCCCCCCCCCCCCCCCCCCCCCCCCCCCCCCCCCGGCTTTCTCAGGTATGGTTGTAAAGACAATTATAGGGAAAGTTCTGTCTGTAGCTGGGGGCAGATATGGCCTGGGTGCCTACTGTTGTTGGCAGCACCAACATGAAGATGCTGCTGGATGAGCTGTGAAGGGAGTATCTGGATCCCTCTGGCACCAGGATGTCTGATTCAGTGCCTTACCTGCCCTGGCCAAGCTGTTATGGGAGTGGATTCCTTGGGATGATCAGTGTCCGTTTCCAAGTATGTCATTGGATTTGGTTCTTCCTTCATCCACAAAAAAGAGAACTTTTTATTTCACTACTAGGTCTGTATCCCAAAGAGATCATAAAAAAGGAAAAGGATCCACATGTACAAAAATATTTATAGCAGCCCTTTTTGTGGTGGCAAAGAATTAGAAATTGAGGGGATGCGCATCAGTTGGGGAATGTCTGAACAAGTTGTGGTTTATGATTGTAATGAAATACTATTGTGTTATGAGAAATGATGAGAAGGCGGACTTCAGAAAAACCTGGAAAGACTTACATGAACTGATGCTGAGTGAAGTGAGCAGAACCAGGAGAACATTGTACACAATTGTACACCAGTATTATGTAGTGATTAGCTTTGATAGACTTGGCTCTTCTCAGCAATTCAAGGATCTAAGACATCTCCAAAAGTCTCATGATGGAAAATGCTATCCACATCCAGAGAAAGAACTGTGGAGTCTGAATGCAGATCGAAACATCCTGTTTTCACCTTTTGTTGTTGTTGTTTTTTCTTTCTCTTGATTTTTCCCTTTTGTTCTGATTCTTTTTTTCACAACATGACTAATATGGAAATATATTTAATAGTATCGTACGTGTATCACCTATTGCTTGCTGTCAGGGGAGGGAGAAAAATGTTTAGATCTCAAAATCTTATAAAAATATATGTTGAAAGCTTTCTTTACATGTAATTGGAAAAAAATAAAATACTCTTTAAAAAAAAAGAGAGAACTTTTAGCCTGTTAAGGTTGAAGTCCCCAAAGTAATCCAGAAGGAAACATACATAGGTTTAGGGATCCCAGGAAGATTTTAGGAATAGGAAGGTGGGTTAGAGAATTGGGAAGTGGAGAAAAA